AAGGCAGTGGAGCTGAAGAGAACAAGTCCAGATCAGGGGCTACAGCCTCAGGAGGGCCGGGGCAGCAAGTCTCAGAGGCACCAGCAGCAGGGGCAATGGTAGAGCATTGCTCTCTAGGAGCCACTCAAGAAACAGACATCCACACAGGGTTAGAGTAGGGAGACGTGAGCGGTCTGGGCTTAGCACATGAGGCAACCCCACGGACTCTCTGGGGAGTCTCGGGCAGCCTTTGTCGGCTAGTGTGGCAAGCACAGCAAAATTAGGCTATCAGTATTAACGGTCGCTTCACTGGACTCCCTTGTCTGATGGGGAATTCAGGTTAACAACAAATAGGCACTACCTATGGAGAGATAAAAAATAATAAATATGGGAAAATTCAAAGAGCATAGAGTCTTCTCCCTGGGTACAGCCTCATGTCCCTTCTGAGACGGGAACGGGAAGACTCTGCAGGGTCCCCGTACTCTGTGTTGTTGAGGGGGGACTCTCGCCCCATCTCCCTTCATTTCGAGCCAGACTCTATAATCAAGCACTATGAGGGTTCCCTAGCTCGCACCCATCTCCCCTTCAGCTTGTGGGAGCCCCAGGATTTTCTTCTGAGGAATTGCTGGGTCGACGTGGACACATGACCTGAGCCTGGCCAGTCACCATGTTCCATCCCGAGCCCCAGGGATCAGCATAGACGTGGACACATGGCCCAGGGCCGGCCAATGAGAGCCGTGAACTTCAGCCCAGGACTCCTGGTGGAATTACTACACACAGGGCACTCTTTTCCCCCACCGGCAAAATGCTAAGTTGGTAACACATAAGCTCAAGATATGGTGACTGTTTTGCTACCACTGGGAAGAGCCTGCCCACCCAGAGAATGGCAGAAATGACAGGTGGAGAGAGACAGGGTCTTGGTGACAGTGAAGTCAGGATCTAGCTGTTCTTTTCAGCCATGAGGCCCCATTACCAGCCCTTTTTATGCAGCTGATTAGATTAGATATCTATGACAAAGATACCAATAAATATGGTCTGCCTGAGGCAGTATTGTCCTCAGAAAGGATAGGCACTGGGGATAAAAAGAATGCAACCTAGGAATCAAGACACCTGGGTTAAATCCTTCATCTGTCTCCCATGGGCTATGTGACCTTAGGTAACATATTGAACACCCCTAGGCCGCATGTGCCTTGTCTGTCAAATGACAATAGCAGCTTACTTATAGGGGGTTGTAGAATTAGGAGTCAAGTTCATGAAGTCCCCATGACATGGTAGATGCCCAATAAATGTTTGTTGAATGACTCAGTGCATCCAAACTGTATTTTCTACCAGTCAAATAGATTAACAGCAAAATTTCTCAATGAATCATTCAGGGGGTAAATATCTGACCCATGGGGTTTATACTCTATCAAGTGACCCATGATGGGTAAGTTCATACCAATGACAAAAGACAGAGTCTTCGTTTTCCTGATGTTCATTTTCTAATTTGCGCAAAGTAAGAAAACACATTTATTAAGGACCTTTTATGCTCTGAAGCAATCTGGTAGGTATTTTATGGGCTACCCCATTGAATCCGTACAGCAACCCATACCTGGCTAGCATGTTAGGGTCAGAAAACTTGGTTCAGAAAAGAGAATAGTTGGTTCAGGATCAGGCAGTGGGCAGGCAGCCAGGCCAAGGTTGCACTAGGGCTGATTCTGCCTGTGCTTGTCCTTATACCTTTCTCTGTCCGCTGCCTCCGCTCAACAGGAAGTCAATGCTTTAATTATAAACCACAGCAGTAACTATCCAGCGAGCTAATAGCTAGCCTCCTTCTGCCATCACCAGCAGGCAAAGGAGAAAAGGCAGAGAGGAGCAAGAGGGGAGGGAGGTAGGGCCCACTTGTTTCACTTGATCCTGGGGTATCTTCTGTGGGGAAGATCAGCGGTCAATCCATTCGTTCACATGCTCATCAGCTAACATCCACTGAGGACCTCCCACAGGCAGAGCTGCTGCGAGCTGCTCCCCATGGTTGTTGTCACCCAGCCACGATGCTCCAAGACACAGGAGGCCATTGGTAGATGAACACCCGATCATATGGGAAGGTCCAAGGTCAACAGCCTGATCGAGGAGCTAGTCAGGTCCTGCACGTGCACGTGCTTGGCATCGCCTGCCAACCACTGTAGCACAGCACGTGCTCTGCCACAGCCACCTGGGTGGGCTTGTGGCAATACTGACGGGGGCAACCTTCTCTCTTGGGGCCTCTCCCAAATTTTGCCAAAGCTAAAAATATAAAACAAAACGATATCACTCTAGGGACCAACTTCAAGTTACTTGCCAAATTCTTCCTGCTTGTGTACCACTTCTGAGAATTGCAAGATGAAAACAACTTTAAAAATGAACTAGCAAGCATTTGTGTGTCTGTTGTAATGGGTGGGTGTTAATAGTTTCTTTTTGAACATGGAAGCAAAAATGGAGGGAAAATGGATGCTTACGTGGCCTTAGAATCTTTGGTAAAGAAGACACATTCCCGTTTCTTAAAATTTGCTTGAATAAAATNTCCATTTCTCGTTTTGGTTGGTCTGAGTGCCCTCGATGTGCTGGCTCTGGGCGTAGCCACACTTGCACGTGTTTTCCCTGAGCACAGTGACATGGACGGGAAGAACAGATTTCATTTAACCTCCTTAAATAGTTCATGTTTTTAGAATAAACCATACATGATTAGCTTGAATAAACACAAAGAGAGATTTGACCATCAAGTCTCACTTTCAGACTATTTTCATCATCTCTGTTGGTTGTTTAAAAACCATCGTGGTGTTTTACCTCTGTCCATTGTCCATTCACCAAAAAACGGGCTCTGTGTTGGAGCTAGGATGGAAGGACAGCAGACCCTGCACTCATGGAGCCTAACCTCCGCATATGTCACCACGAGGTTATTATGGGTTAAGTCTTACAAATCTGGATTGTTCATAATATGCAGGAGCCCTGGGGCAGGTCTCAGTGCTGCAGTGCCAATCCTGCCCGTTTGCCGGGCCAGTAAAGCTCTCCTAAAGTGAAGTGAGCCCAGGAGAGAGGCGGTCCCCTAGCAGAGGCCCAAAGCATTGCAGAAGTCAGAGAGACCATCCTTTTTTATAGGGGACATCAGCTGCTTGGGAGACCTTCAATAATTTGGGATAGACGAGGACAAACTGTACAATGAATGAATATGATTTCTTCCCATTAAAAGTGCAACAGAACTAAATTTAATTGTTTGTTAATTGATGCATATGCATGATATGAAATTGGAATGGATGAAAAGACAGCCAGTGAGTGGTGAAGACTCCCATTCTCCCTCCCAATATACTACAATCATTCAACAGATATGGATTAAAAATCCACTCGGAGTCCAACCCAGGCTGAGCTCCATGGCATCCAGAGATTAACTGGATGGGATTCCCCATCAAGTGCTGGTGATCTCTCAGGAGGAGCTGAGTACAACACCTGACAACGTGCAGCGAAGACCACACGAAACACCTCCTTTTGTCCTGGCACAACCCCTCTCCTCTTGGGCTCGCGGAGAGGGCTGGAAAGAAAGCGAAGCACCCAGCTGGGCCTGGCATGTGGTACATGCTCTATCCAGTGACTTTATGTTGTGGTGGTGCCATACATGCATATCAAGGAATAGCAAAGGCAGTGGCAACAGAAAAGAAGCAAAAATGTGGTAAAAAAAAAAAGAAAACCAACTTGAAAAGCACATCCATGACTACTACGTCCTCTGTCCAGGGCTGTGCTGCACGCTGAGTGAGGGCCGCCATCTCCAGAGAGATGAACAGCCACCACAACAAAGTCCTAACATGGCCAAAGCCACTCACGCCCCCAGTGAGGCCCTGCTCACCTGCCTCTGGTTTCTCCCTGCCTGTCCCACCGACTTGGGTCTCCCTGTTCTCTCTCCCATCAGTCTTAGGACAAGGTTCAGGAGGTGCTAAGAATCCAAGGGACCCATGGCCAGTGGAGAGAAGAACACAGTTCCGTCCCTGAAGGCTGGAGAGTAGCAAAGTGAGAGACGTGTTTGGCCAGAGGGCAGAGCGCTCCTTTTTCTGAGGGGGCAAAGGGATAATGGAGCAAGACAGTGCCACCACCAGTGAACGAGCACATGTCCTGATTTACCCAGGACCGTCCCAGTGAACCCCTTTTGTTCAAACCCTAGTGGATCGTTGCCTCCTTCACTCTTTCTTACCATGTCCCAGGTCCCACAATAAAGCATGTGGTCATTCTAACCACCACCCTACTAGGAAAGGTGCCCCCTATGGCAGACGTGGGCCTGGCTCGGGTGCAGGAACAGCACAGGAGTTGATCCCCCAGGGACCCCTAGCACCTTTATGCAGTCCACAACCCGGACAACTATACGTACATGGTGACCCTGGAGCAAGGACTTCCTGGGTAGGCCGGGTCAAATAAAGGCATACAAACTGAGGAAATCTGTGAGGGTTTGCTTCCAGCTGGACTGTTTATCTTACACTCTCTGTTCCTAGCACATAAG